TGGAGGAGTTTTGTGCATGAATAATTATAACACGAGCGGTGTTGACGGATTTTTTAAACCACAAAGGCTAATGTGCCGTATTTATAGTACTTGACAAGTACGTTAATTGTTAAAAAAAATCATAAATAGTACTTGTATTGTTGAAACCATATCGATAATTAAACTATACATAGTATTTTAGACCTTTGTTAGTAATATACGGTTCGTGAATAATACAATAATAAGTACGTTTGTGTATAATAGGATACAATTATATAAAATATGGCTTAATATATGTTTCATACGTTCGTGAAATATATATAGGGATACGGACGTGTTTTAAACGTTTCACAATTTAAACATACGGAATATAATATGTGTCTTATATACTAATTTAATGATAGAAATAAAGAGTTATTTAGAATTTGCACCACATTCTTCAATAATTTAAAATGTAAGGAATAGTTTTTTCATATATACGGATTTGAACACATAAGTACAATAAGTAATAAAAATGACGTTGCCTATTTGAGTAGAAGTAGAGAGATATCATTAGAGAATAGTTGATATTACTGTGACCGTGAGTTTGGTGAGCCGCCACAATATTTTTCGATCTCTTTGGAGTCTTGGTATGGGTGGAGAACAAAAGTAATACAGTAGTAGTACAATAGTAATATCGAAACGGATTACGAATTTAAGAAGCTAATTAACCTAATTTATTAAATGTAATGACTATTAAACAATTAACGAACATATAAGGTATACATTTTTAAGCAATATAAAAAATATTGAGCATCTAAACATTTCATTTCAGTTGTATCACTACATTAGGCTTCCGTTTAATGGTGTGTGTTTTTGAATAAAATATGTATCAATACATACAATACGTGTATTATACTTAAAGTACGTGAGGCTTTCAGAATTTTCTGAAAAATTCATAAATGAGAGTATTATACGGGAATAAAATATGTATCAATACGTACGGTACGTGTATTATACATTTTATCCTTAAATTACGTGAATTTTTCCGATTTTTTTTGAAAAATTCATAAACGGGAGTATTATACGTGAATTATACGTATACGTGAATTACATGCAAATAAACTAACAGAGTTTTAGGCTTATTTTTTACATTCTTTTTCTGGCAAATATAGCTTGTTACTTTTTCTTAAAGAGAAATGGTGCTAAATAGGACCAAAATTTACCTAATATACCTAAATAGGACTTCAATCTTTTTTATACCTAAATATGACCTTTTTTCCGTATCTTCCAGATTTACCCTTAATGTGTTCAAAACCCTTCTCTTCTCACCTCTTCCTGGAAACCAAAATCTGGGAACTTGGAGCAAATTTGAAGGCTGAAGCAAAAAATTGAGCCAGCGATGAAGAGAGGATGAACATCGCAGAGGTACCGGACAACGCCGGACACAGGTCAGGAAGAGGCGGTGGCTGCACAACGACGCGGTGGTGGCTGCACAACGACACGACGAAAAGTTAGAGGTAGAAATTCCTTGTAAGTCTCCTTTTTCTTTTCTGCGTCTTCTCTTCCTTCGTGTTGCCTGGCCTCTTATTTTTTTTTTTGCAGCGTGCAAGAAGCTACCAGGTAGAAAATTGAATTGACTGAGTGAATACATATAAATTGATAACAAATTTGATTTATTGATGGAACTGAGTTGCGGTAGCTACGTAGTACGGAATATGTTTTACTCTCATTGTCTTTTTCCCTTTTTTAATTGGAGTAAACAAAGTCATTTTCATAATTTCCGTCTTTTCAAATTCATTCCAGAGGAAATGATTCTTAATGACTAAAATCAACGTGGCCAGACCGGAATCCAAGATAGCTTTACATATCCTTAGTTAATTATTACGTGCCACTAGTTTTATTTTTATACTACGTATTTTCAAAGATATCAAGCACGTATGTGAACGCTCGGGTTGACTTACATACTTAGAAGCTGTTCCGTTCGTCTTAATCTTATTACTTATTCCTTAATCTTATTTTATTCAGATCAGATCAGATCAGATCAGAAAGATTCAGATCAGATCAGATCAGATCAGAAAGATTCAGATCAGATCAGATCAGATCAGAAACATTCAGATCAGATCAGAAAGATTCAGATCAGATCAGCAACATTCAGATCAGATCAGAAAGATTCAGACCAGATCAGACCAGATCAGAAACATTCAGATCAGATCAGAAACATTCAGATCAGATCAGATCAAAAAATTCAAACATGATTTATCACTTTTATTAATATATTAATTATGATTATTATATTATAATTATTGTTAAAAATATTAATATATTAATATAATAATATTATTAATAATATAATAATAATAATGTTAATAATATAAAATTATTATTATAAAATAATATAATATAATATAATATAATATAATATAATATAATATAATATAATATAATATAATATAATATAATATAATATAATATAATATAATATAATACAATACAATACAATACAATACAATACAATACAATACAATACAATACAATACAATACAATACAATACAATACAATACAATACAATACAATACAATACAATACAATACAATACAATACAATACAATACAATACAATACAATACAATACAATACAATACAATACAATACAATACAATACAATACAATACAATACAATACAATACAATACAATACAATACAATACAATACAATACAATACAATACAATACAATACAATACAATACAATACAATACAATACAATACAATACAATACAATACAATACAATACAATACAATACAATACAATACAATACAATACAATACAATACAATACAATACAATACAATACAATACAATACAATACAATACAATACAATACAATACAATACAATACAATACAATACAATACAATACAATACAATACAATACAATACAATACAATACAATACAATACAATACAATACAATACAATACAATACAATACAATACAATACAATACAATACAATACAATACAATAGAATAGAATACAATACAATACAATACAATACAATAGAAATAAATATTATAATTATAATTACAATAATAATTATAAAATTAATCATAATTAAAAATATAATTACATTTATAATTGTATCTGTACTTATAATTAGTGTAATTAGTATAATTATTATAATTTTAAATTTAATTTTAATTATTATTTTTTTATAATTATGATTATAATTGTAATTTTATTTAAGTTATATTTTTAATTACAATTATAAATCTAATAATTATAATTATAATTACAATTATAGAAATATTCAAATCAGATCAGAAAGATTCAGATCAGAAGAATTCAGATCAGATCAGAAACTTTCAGATCAGATCAGAAACATTCAGATCAGATCAGATCAGATCAGCAACATTCAGATCAGTTCAGCAACATTCAGATCAGATCAGAAAGATTCAGATCAGATCAGAAAGATTCAGATCAGATCAGATCAGAAAGATTCAGATCAGATCAGAAAAATTCAGATCAGATCAGATGAGAACTTAAAAAATTCAGATCAGAAACATTCAGATCAGGTGAACGGAACAGCTTCTTAGAGTCTGTTTGCAACAGCTTCTGCTTTTAAAAAAAATAATTACATAAATATGGCCAAAATAAAGATGACTTACAAAAATATGATTAATTACTAGAGTAGTAATGAAATCATAGTAATTCGTGTTCATGTTTTGAACTTAAGTTACCACAACACTACGTTGTAGTAATGAATAGTCATAATTATGTAAATAAGTTTTATTTTAGTAATATTCTTGTAAAAAACCCGCATTTTTCCTATTTTTCATATAATTTTTTTATTTTATTAATTAAATACTACCATTCCTCCGAACCAAATCTTCTGCGATTTACTTCAACGCGACCGCAACATCACAACATCAGACTCAACCTGGAAAACCGAATAGCCTAGGTTAGAACATAAAAATGCTAACCGAGACGAAGAGTGATGAAGGGAAGGTGGAGGTAGGGGTTGAGAGTACTAAAATACTAAATTAGCATTAGTTTGAGTTCGCTCCAATTTATTCTTTTGGACTATTACTAGTACGGATTATTTTTACGGACACTCTTAGTATGAATTATTATTTTAGAATCACTAAAAGTATGGATCTTGTGAATTTCGCCAATTAAATATTGTCAACGTCAAACATTAATATGGGATGGAGAGTAAGGATGTTTTCTTTTGGACTGAAATTTGCTAGTCTGATCTGATCTGATCTGTTTAAGTCTGGTCTGATCTGAACTGGTCTGGTAAACGTTTGGTCTCTGTGTATTTTATAACTATGGAAGTCTGGTCTGGTCTGATCTGTTTAAATCTGGTCTGATCTGATCTGATCTGGGACTGAAAACAGTACGAAAGAAAACATCCTAAATTGTCCTGGAAATGTTAGGTCACCGCAATTATTTTTGGACAAATATTAAAAACGGAAATTGTCCGGGAACAAAAACAATGTGAAATCTGGTACTCCGTATTAATTTTTTTCTTGATCAAAGTAATTATTTTCATATTCTGAAAATATGACTCATTATTGCATTAGAACCGTCTTACTAATGCTTGATAATGTCATAATAGGACAGTTTTATTTTTTTTAAAATGACATTAATTTACACATATTCAAGAAAAAATAGACATTATTTTCAGCTAAAGCTCCGTGTAGGCTGTTATCCAAATACATCACTTCAATAATTATTGGCTGGATTTGCAAAATTTAAGCCCAATATTAACTAAAATGGTGTGCCAAACATAGCCTTGGACTGTTTTTAGTCCCAGATTAGATCAGACCAGACCAAATCAAACTTTGCAATTTCAATTTACCTTTTGGAATTTCTACTTTACCTCGACAGTATTCCTACTTTGGAGTTTCTATTTACTTTTTGGACTGGAATTTCAATTTATTTATACACATAGTCTAGGAAACTTCCACGATTCTGCCTAGCGCATTTTCAGCGTAATAATAACCTTTTATAGGTTCCACTGGAATCACGGAGCTAGAAAGGGGTAAAGCAAAGGAAGACAAATATGCCCACAGTGCTATATATGTAGCTCTCCGGTGTATATAACGCAGGAGGAATGGAGGAGCAAGTTTTCAACTGTGTGTAACAAAAATAAGATGAAAATGATGATGTTCATGATGGAAGATTTGTTGTCTAAACTAGGCCCTTCCCTTGCAACACTCGTGTTCATTTGGACCTTATACCATAACTATTTCCCAAATCAACTTCGAACATTCATAGTTTGCCCTTTTCACAGAATTTACGGATTCTTCTACCCATACGTGCACATCACCTTCCGTGAGTTTGAAGCAGAGGAGCTCTTCGACAGGAGCAAAGTGTTCCTCTCTATAGAGAGGTACTTAGGTCAGAACTCCACCTCAAATGCTAATCAACTCATCGCTAAAGCCGCCAAAGACACCACCCAGCAGGTGGTGCTCAGCATGGGCCACGGCGAGGTGGTGACAGATGTTTACAGAAATCATGGGAAGGGTGATGAGGAGGTGAAGGTGTGGTGGAGCTCCAACCAAATACCTCCCAACAAACAGACTATCAGTTACTTCCCTAGGGAGGAAGAGAAGAGATTTTTCTCCTTGAAGTTTCATAAGAAGAACAGAGAAATCATCACAAAGTCCTATATCAAGCATGTGCTAGAGGAGGGGGAAGCGATTGCTGTCAATGACAGGAAGCTTAAGCTGTACACGAACAACAACAGTGAGTATTGGCGTGGGCGGATGAGCACCAAATGGAGCCATGTCATCTTCAAGCATCCTTCCAACTTCACCACACTAGCCATGGAGCCAAGCCGGAAACAAGAGATTAAGGATGAGCTTCTCAACTTTAAGGCCTCAAAGGAGCTTTATGCTCGGATAGGCAAGGCGTGGAAACGCGGGTATCTCCTCCACGGTCCGCCTGGGACAGGAAAGTCAAGCATGGTTGCCGCCATGGCCAATCTTATGCAGTATGACGTGTATGATCTCGAGTTGACGTCTGTGAAGGATAACAATGAGCTTAGAAGGCTCTTGATAGACACTTCAGGTAAGTCCATCATAGTCATTGAAGATATCGATTGCTCCCTTGACCTAACAGGTCAGAGGAAGAAGAAAAAGGAAGATGAGGATGAATCATCAAAAGAAGAGAAAGATCCTATCAAGAAGGAGTTGATCAAGAAAATAGAGAAGAAAGGGAGTGAGGTGACTCTATCTGGGCTTCTCAATGTCATTGATGGCCTCTGGTCAGCTATTGGAGAAGAAAAAATCATAATTTTCACCACAAATCACCTTGAAAAACTTGACCCTGCTCTGATTAGGAGAGGGAGAATGGACAGCCATATTGAGATGTCTTATTGCTGTTTTGAAGCCTTCAAGGTATTAGCAAAGAACTATCTCGATATGGATACGGAAAAAGATACCCAACCTCACCCTCTATTTCCAGAAATCAAGCGTTTGCTAGGGGAAACGAAAGTTGTGCCAGCTGACGTTGCTGAGAACATGATGCCTAAATCTGCCGGAGAGAAAATCGACACTCGTCTGGAGAGACTGGTTAAATCTCTACAAGAAGCTGCAAATGATGAATTGAAGATGAAATCTGAGGAAGAAAAGAGAATCAAGGTTGCCAAGGAAGAGGAAGACATACAGAAGAAACAAGAAGCTGAAGGCCCAAACAAAACAGAGGACTTGGCTAAAGAAAATGGAGATATGATGAAAACAGATGCGCTGGTTCTAGAAAATGGAAATGCATGTGAGGGGTGATGATATTTGAAAGAATCTTCACCTTGAGCTTGGCTTGGTGCTTCTTAGTATTTTGCAATATTAGCTCTTGTACAATACTACTACGTATCTATTAATGGATGGAGGACCAGGATACATGTAGGGAGAGTTTTATGGTATAGTAAAATTCTCTCAAGTCTCAAATCTACCCAATTGAATAAGTGATGGTGAACTGATTTTGGAGTAAATTTGAGATAGTTTTAGTGGTTTTATGTCTAACCATCTCCGGGCCTCTAACATTATCCATCTACAAATGCATTCTTAAATATTATGGACCTACTATAAATTATTATTATTATAATCTTAAAACCGACTAGTTGCACCAAACTAGTCTAAGAATCTCATTGAAAAAATCTCATCCAGAATCCAGATGATTGAGAAAGCTAACTACATAAATTTAGAGCACTCTTATTGCAGTCTCACCTAACTTTCTGTGTGGAGATACAATAATTCTTGATTTGTACTGGGGACCAGCAACCATTTATGCCAAGGTATTTGCTCTCACCTCCTAACATGGTCTTTGTTTAGCCAACCACCCACCTTCCATTTTGGCCACCATGGCTACTAATAATAAGCTTTGGTCCACTTTACAGATATGGGCAGGGCCTAGGGAGCTTGGATGTCTCCCTTTGGCCATCCTGGAACATGGAAGTGTAGCAGGAATTTTGTGGGGAGGAAGGGATACACAAAACCCAACACACAACACACACACACATGGTCAATAAATCAAGATCAGACCTTTATTTACTTATCCAATAAAATGATTGATCCATATTCTGTATATCTAATCTCCTCGTTGTATGGCTAGCCACAAATTGACCAACTATGCAGAAAACAACTATTCTGTGTTTTTCCCTAGATTCTTAAGAATACCCTAAGATAAGATAATATATATTAAGGTAAAAACAAGCAGATAGAAGTATACAACCACAACCACCAGATGCGATTCTCTCAGAAAAGTAAAGACGACCTAAATTGGGATTTCTGAAGTCTCCGCAAAAATAAATTAAAAACTTTAATTTCACCTAGAGATTTGATCCAACGAAGCGTCTTCCACATGACTCCATGAGAGCAGTTTGTAGGCCATATCATGCCCGCTTTACCGCTCCAGATCGAGATGCTTGACAATGAAATTTAGAAGTCGCTGTTGTGCCAACTAATTAGAAATGCCAGATACGGCCCTCGGACCCAAACGACTAGCCAAGGGGGATGCATCAAATTAGCACGGAGTAATGAGCAGCGTGGCAAGGCTCCATCGCATTAAGGACTTGAAAATGGTGTTGGGAACGGATGATGCTGCAGAGTTGCAGTGATCTGCGACTCCATTGTGATGATGAATTAATGAATTTGACCAAGAGCAAAATTATGACACGGGCATATCACTTCAGTTTCGCCTTCAAATCTGACTGAATTTGAACCGGAATTGAACCGAAGTGATAATGTGAAAAATCGAGTAAAGTTTGAAGTTTGAACCCAAAATTTTCCTAAAAATAATTAAAATACCCCAAATTTTGAAGGGGTGTGAGATGAACATCTCAAACTTCTATATGTAATTTAAATACTTCAAACTTTATATTCAAAGTTAGTTTAACATCATTGTCAAGTATTATTCCTTTCAAAAATTTAAATTTATGATGTTAATTGAATAATTTAAAATATTTTAGAATTTATGAAAACACAATTAACATTCTAAACTTCCATTGCGAAATGAATAATGTTACCCTAAATCTATATAATTGCAACACTTCTAATTTTCTATTTTAAATTATGAAATTAACCCATAAACCTATATTTTTGAAAGAAATAATACATGAAAATGGTGCGAAAATAACTTTTTATATAAAGTTTGTGGTATTTAAAATACATATGCAAGTTTGGGGTGTTTACGTCACACCCCTTCAAAGTTTGGATATTTTTATTATTTTTCCCAAAAATTTTCTAAAAGACTATTTTTTGTAATATTTTTTAGTAGTCAAAAGTACTTCTACATTTTCATCCAAATATTCGAATAATGTTCTTGCTTTGTTTTTGCACCTTAGAACATCTTCAATGCTAAAACGTTAACGGTGCATACGTGGCATGAGAGATAGCCAATCAAAAAACAACAAATAAAATATCTTTTTCCTTATATGAATGATCTTATATAATTTTGATAAATTTTTCTTCACAATGTCAATCACAATGTCTAATGTAGACATTGTGATTGACATTGCAAAGAAAAACTTACCAAAAACACATAGGACCGTGGAAAGACGGAGAGAGAAATGTCATAAAATCAATCTTTTGTGTGTATCCCTCTCATGCCACATGTGCACCGTGCACATTGTAGCATTGAAAATACTCTTAAAAAATAGAATTAGTAGAAACAGTTTTAGAAAACATATCCAAACGCCCCCAAAATCTTGATATATATTTAACAATATAGCAAACTTGAACAGAATTAAACCAAAGAAATCAAATCAAACACAAACATTAGTTTGTTTTTTATTTGATACTCATTCGTGTAACCAGTTCCAAATCGAGCTGAATTAAAAATGATAAAAATCAAGCGAAAACTGATATACACACCATCGGAGGCGGAGCCATGACACTGGGTTGGACTAGCCCGGTACAAATAAAATTATACAGAATCTTTTACACTAAAAATATAAACATTTTTAAATTTTGTGGTAGGTCGGGACCTAGATAGCCCCCCTAGCTATGCCCCTGCACACTCCTAAGTATGACGGTAATTTAAAACTGAGTATAGCAAACACATGATGATCTTTTTCAACTAAAGAACATGTTTGGTGACTCTATTTTTCGACTTAACATACTTGTCAGCTAATTTGTTCACCAAACATGTAACTTTTGATTTCACGCACTGAATTGTGTAATAATAAGAAAAAATAAGGATTGAGTTACTTTTCTGACTTTATTGGCTGAAGCTAATATAGAGGATCATTTTAGTTATTTTTATATATATTCTTCTTTATTTTATTAATAAAGTTCTTTTAAATATATATTTTTTCATAAATCAATATAATCATTCGATGCAGTCACTTCAGTCATAATTTCATAAATTTCAGCAGAATCATTCAATTAAATCAATTTCAGTGTTACTAAACGAGCTCTAAATGTGAATCGTGTGGTGCATATGGAAAAAAGAAAGAAAATAGAGATATGAAGTTGTTGAAAAGTAAGTTTCAAATTATTTGGTAAAATAAATGATAGATGAATGAGAAAATTACATTTGTACGCAAAATTAATATAGAAATGGTACACACCCCCTTCACTGATGTTTATTGAACATCAGGAAAATTTCCAAACCAATTGGTAAAATGAATGATTAAGATGAATGGGAAAATACATTTCTACACACCCCTTTACTTATGAATAGTGTTTATGTTTCTGTTTTACCATTCATCTCTATATATACTTTTAAATCTTTAATCTGAAGGGGATGTGAAAAATTTATGTTTCTATTTAAAAACTGAAAATGAATAAGAGTTTATGTTTGTGTTTTTATATTGTATAAACATTATACTTATGTGTATATACATGGATATATTTTTCTTTAGGAGGCTTCTAACCATATAACTTCTCCACTATCAATTCAATTCATGAACCATTAAATCAAAGACACAAGTCTGTTTTGTCTAGAGGGGTGAAAATCACGAAGAGCCTCTTTCGTGACCCATGATTTCGGATGGACACTTGTCAGTTATTTTTTCATCAAACGCATATTTTTTTTTTCGCGCGTTAAATACTTAAATTATGTAATAATCAAAATATGATTAAGTAAGTTTAAATTACTTTTTTGGCCGAATGGTTGAAGTCATTATAGAGGATAATTTCAGTTATTTTATACGGAGTATAAGTTTTTGTTAAATTTTAACAATAGAATATATTTTTAATATATTTTCCATAATTCTGCAAATTCAACCAATTCAACCGCTTCAGCCAAAACTTAATACTACGTAGATTTTAGCAGAATCAACCGATTACCAAACAAACTTGTGAAAATTTTAGTAATAAATTGAGTATAGTGACTAACACTTCTTACGGGTGGTGTAAGACTGTAAATCCGATTGAATTCGTCCTTTGGAGCTACTATCATCGAAAGTCGACTATATCCAAATCCGTATGTGTCCTTCCAAAGTCTTGGGGATAGTTCATAAACTCCAAGATTATTAGGGAAAAGATACAAATATACCCATGTAGTATGCGTGTCAGAACGAATATACCTTTGTTCTATTTTTCGGAACAAATATACGCTGAAGTATGTGTGGAAGTGCATATATACCCTTGAATTTCAAATATGTGCAAAAATACCCCTCATATTCATATAAAAGAGCATATTTAAAAAATACCAAAAATAAGTTATAAATTCGAATTTAAAAAATAAAAGATTTTAAAAATGTACTTGTGACTAATTCCCCCTTTTATTGTTTGTATATCACAATATCATATTGTTAGTATAAAATATTATTTCAAATCTTTACTATTACTATATACGAAGTATTTAAGATTCTTACGGAAAAGTGTTAATGTATGTGTTGCAATGAAAAAATATATTAATTTATTGCATATTTTGCACTATAAAGTCACATATTTTGGATGATCATAAATAGTCCAGGATTATAATATAGTGAACTTAATTTTATTAAGGTTAAACAAAATAAAAAAAATGTTATTTCAGAAAATGTAATAATGTGTTCAAAATTTCATTACAAGCCTAATATTAAAACTACTGAATTTGAAGTGCTTCATTTACAACGGAAAAATAATAATTTGTAATTTAAAATTAGCTTGTTAATATTTTAACATAATAATAAATCTTTATCTTTAAATTTCGAATTTGTAATTTATTTTTGGTGTTTTTTTGAAATTTATTTTATCTATTTAAAGTCAATAAGGGTGAATTTGCTACTTTATAAGAACATGAGACGTATTTTTACACTTTTTAAAAGTTCAGGGGTATATATGTGATGGATAGTGTACCGGGGGGAGGGGGGTAGTTTATCCGAGAGGTTATTATGAGAATAACCTAGAGAGAAGTCAGAGCAAACAAGTAAGAGAGAGAGGTGATTGTATTAATGAACTTGAGATGTTCTGGTCTTTACAAGATGAATAGGGGCTGCTATTTATAGCAGCAATAAATGCGATGAGAGTACACGTGTCAGTAACCTAACGGCCGATGGGTCACCTCAATCGGGGTGGCACCGACACTCGTATGTGCACCGCATTAAATGCGGTGGTTGGACGTGACGCCACATTAA